CACACACACACACACACACACACACAAAATCAAAAATACAGTAAAATTTGTGTAATATATATTTTTATTATATGTTTAAACAATGATTCCTTGATGAATAGAATTTTAAATCTTCTGTAACTTTAGAAATGTCTTTACAGTCACTTTTGATCAATTTAATGCATCCTTTAATTTAAGTATTAATTTAATTTAAATTTTAATTTAAGTATTGAAATATTAAATTAAAAGTAAAGCATTAACTAATTAAAAAAATGAATAAATAAAACTTACTGGCCCCAAACCTTCTAGTTTATGTAGTACATTCAATTTAGTTTTTCTTTATTTCTTGTTTAATTGCTTAAATTGCCAACCCAATCTATACGTGTATTTATGCACACATTTATTTATTTATTTGTGTATATATTTATTTATTGTTTTTGCAGGTTTCGTACTCCATACATCTGTAGACTGTAGGTGTTGGATTATATAGTGTCCCTAAACCTACCCGATAGTGTTAACAAATGCAAAACTGATATAAAAACACATTTTTTGATGCAACCGTGCCATTTTAACTTTTTTATATGCAGATTTGAACTGTTTTGTTGAGCCGTAGTTACACGGGATTCGAACCGGAGCTCCTCACCTCTCGTGTGTGTGTGTGTGTGTCTTGTGTTCATGTGCATTTACCCAGGGACTCTGCTATCGACTCTGTGCTGGAGGGCGGCGGAAAGCTGAAAGAGCGTGTGGCCTTAAAGGAAACGTCATTGTGACAACTGATGCTCTGTGCCCGCCGTCGGCACTCGATGGCCAAACGACTGCAGCAGTCTTTATGACAGCTGACCCCACACACTGAAAAAACACAGAACAAAAATTTGTGATAAAACACGAATTTACACACGAAAAAGATAAGAGTTAGGTTCTAAATTTGGTTTCATACCTTTGCATTTGTATCGCTGTTTGTAAAATCCCCATATCTGTAAGAATTAACATAAAATAAATAAGTCAGAATATATATATATATATATATATATATGAGTGGCGCTAAAACACGTGTTCAATACGTGAACCCTGGCACGTTTTTATTACGTTGATATAGGTACGTATTGCTGTGTTTTTATTACGTTGCTTCAGGTACGTATTGCGGCAGTTCAGAATTCAAATATCCGGGGACTGTTGCTAAAAGTTAATGCTCTGTCGTGTTGGAAATATGCCCTACACCAAACCCAACCCTAAACCTACCCGATAGTGTTAACAAATGCAAAACTGATATAAAAACACATTTTTTGATGCAACCGTGCCATTTTAACTTTTTTATATGCAGATTTGAACTGTTTTGTTGAGCCGTAGTTACACGGGATTCGAACCGGAGCTCCTCACCTCTCAAGTACGTCTCCGTACTCCGTGAGCTACCGAAAAAACCTGTTGTATATGAAAACCCATTAATATGAAGCTGGATATGTGCGGTGCTAACAATCAAAAGCATCAGTTTTGAAATCTCCCAGCATATTAAAAATGTTTTGAAGTCACAACATAATACTCTTCAAGTAATTGTGCGAAAATGATGCTTTATTAATCGAAACTCTGTAAATCATACTCTGTGTGAAAATAATTTAAAAGGTGTCGGAGTTTTACTGCCTCTAGTGTTAATTTTTGTTGGAAACTGCAGTGATATGTACTTATTGGTACGTATTTCGCGTCTTGCAAAAATGTGCCCCCAGGTACGTATTTGCCATGAGACCGGGTAGCAAATTGCTTACAGCCTAAGTGTAATTTAATTGAATAGAAAAGGCTTGTCAAAAATGCCGGTTCAAAAACAAAAACACTGAAGAAAAAGGAAAACAGGTTATCTGCTGGGGTGGACCTTGACAGGAAATTAGAAAATAGGAAGTGGTTACTATCTCCACCCAACTACCAACTGTGAACATACTGTAACAACATCTTTCCCACAGACACACCCTTAAACACAACCATGCTGCACTCGTACCGAAAACAGCACAAGCACCATAAACGTCTGACAGCAGAGACAAATATGAACGAATTCAAGCCATAAATACAAGCTGGCTTACGAGTGATAATAAAATAGGCATTATGTGCATCTGTGCTTTTTGAAATAAATACAGATCTGGATGTCTGTTTCTCATGAGGCTGAAAAGATCTTATTTCATCTCATGTGTGGGCTGTTATCACGTTGGAGATGAAGATAAAGAGTTTGAGGCCCAAATATATCATGCACTCACCAAACGAGAGCAGTGCCGACAAAATGAAGGCTTGACGCTGCTTGCCTCAGTAAACGTGTGAACAAAACCCATCTTACAGTTCTGTAAGGAGCTCGCCTTTGTGAAATACTCAATCATCTCCTCTCGGCTAATTTTACAATCCCTGGGAGTGAAAATGAGAAAGAGAAAGATGGGACATTTACTGTACTGTAGACTTTGACAAATGAGGGAAAATAATTACTCCAGATACACTGGACAGATGTCTTGATAAACCCACTGGTTTTGGTCCAGTTCATCAAACTTGCCAAGGTAAGGGAAATTCCTCCTGATGATCTCAAACTCTCCTTGGGAAATGTAGCCATCACCATCGGTGTCAAAATTTTGGAACACTGACTGAAAGTAAGACATCGTCCAATTAGTTCTCTTTCACCACAAGTTAATTTATTACACGCCTCTCTGGAACACTTGTCAAACTTCTGCAATATAACAGTGTTGATTATTGTTTGTTGTTCAGCTCAATGGCACGATTGTGAATATGATATTTCGTTTTAATTAGCCAGAGCATAAACAAGAAGTTGTTACGTAACTTACATTTTTGACACATATTGGCAAATTATTTTTGCTTGCTCCAGTAATTAAAATATTTGCAAACAAAAAGCAGAATCAAGTGGTTTCATGTGTCCAAGTTACGTTCCTTTTTTGTTTTTGAAGAAATTGGTTGAGTGAAAGATTAAATGACTTGCTCATAAGGTAGGCCACTTGTTTACATTCTAAATGAATCAGGTTTTGAATGGATTGGTTGAGTGAATGATTCAATGACTCACTCATAATGTGAGTCACTTGTTTCATTTTCTTTTTTAAAATGAAGCAGTGTTTTTGAACAAATTGATTGAGTGAATGATTCAATGTCTCACTCATAAGGTCAGTCACTTGTTTTTTTTTTTTTTAATGAATCAGTGTTTTTGAACAAATAGGTTGTATGAAAGATTGAATGACTCACTCATAAGGACAGTCACTTGTTTCATTCCTGATTCAATTCGTTTTTTTGTTTCAAACGAATCAGTTGACTGAATGATTCAGTGACTCAATCGATTTGTTCAAAAACACTGCTTCATTTTTTTTAAATGAACAAATAGGTTGTGAACGATTTAATGACTCACTCATAAGGACAGTCACTTGTTTCATTCCTGATTCAATGAGTTTTTTCAAACAAATCAGTTGACTGAATGATTCAATGACTCAATTGATTTGTTCAAAAACACTGCTTCATTTTTTTTAAATGAACAAATAGGTTAAGTGAACGATTTAATGACTCACTCATAAGGACAGTCACTTGTTTCATTCCTGATTCAATGAGTTTTTTCAAACAAATCAGTTGACAATGATTCAATGACTCAATCGATTTGTTCAAAAACACTGCTTAATTTTTAAAAAATGAACAAATAGGTTGAGTGTAAGATTTAATGACTCACTCATAAGGACAGTCACTTGTTTCATTCCTGATTCAATGGGTTTTTTCAAACGAATCAGTTGATTGAATGTTTCAATGTCTCACTCATAAGGTCAGTCAATTGTTTAACTCCTGAATGAATAAGTGCATTTGAAAGCATCAGTTGAGTGAATGATTCAAACTAACTCATAAAGAAAGTCACTTGTTGCCACCTACTGGCGTAACAATGAAACCAACAGAAAGAGTCACTGAAAAATCCCCACCACTAAAACACAAACTGACAGTCTGTCTGGAACATGGAAACTGTATATCTGACTGTTGTCAGGCAACCAGCTCATTGTTGTATTTATTATAATAATGACTGGCTTACTTCATTTTATCCTTTACATATTATCCCTAAAGTATACTATTTGCAACAATTCGTTTATTTGAAAACCAAATAATTATTCAGAAAAAAAGAGAAATTAATTGAAAGTAGTGCGGGTCACATACCTCCACCATTTTTTCAATGTGTTTGTTGATGATGGCTGGATCCGCTTTAGGTTTGACTGAAGATGCCCACTGTTCTATTAGAGGAGACTGTGACTTTGAGCTGGAAGTCTAAGAGGCCAGAAATCAATGGCGTATTCACTTAGCAAGTGAAAATAAGGCACCAACAGATATGGATAAATGACTGCTGTCCATTGGTTGAACAGAATAATTATAGAGTAGTGGTTCAGGCTCGCAGCTGCAAGTCTACGTAAATGGAGATTATGCAGGCAACATGGGAAAATTAATCTGTCAAATTGTGTCATGAGTGGTTGTAATTGGTGGTTTCTACCTCATGGTGGCCACTGATTTGCTATCTGAGCAGCTGTTATGTCGGTGGAGTGACTCACTGGTAGTTTAGTACTGCGAGGCTCCCTCTGTAGAGATAGCTGATATATCTCGTCCTCTGAGTGGTACTGGTCCAAAGACACCTGGACAGGAACAGAATAAATGTAAATCATGAACAATAATTGATAATTAACATGGATTTGATAAATCCAACCTCCATGTCACTCATTCAACTCAATCAAATACATGAAAATGCTTATATTTTAAAGGAATATTTTACAAAAAATCAAAAATTCTGTCATGATTTATAAATATATTTTATTAATATTTATTTATTTTCTTATAAAATTATACAAATAATTATAGAAATATTTAAATGAAATAAAATAAATAATTACATTTAAAATATAAATGTTCATCAAAAAATCCTGACAAAAATATCAGCATATTCAAATGATTTCTGAAGGGTCATGTGACACTGAAATAATGG